TGTGCAGGCTTGTCTCTCGTCGTTCAAGTTTCCTGTTCCAAATGTAGTCTCATGACTTCTACCCAGGTGTCGATGCATCCGTCTGTGTCGTCCTTAAATTCTTTTGGCTTCTTGAACGTTTTCCTGGATTTGCTACCTCCTCTTTCACTCGAGTCAGTTTTTCTCGTAGCGAACGCCTCCAATGTCCTATTCATCATCTCTCAGGTGCTAGCCCACGTCATGGCATCAGGTCCCACTTTGTTGCTTGTCGTGGAGTCCCCCGGGCCGTTTGTAGTAGTTGAGGTCCCACTCTTAATAATTGTCTTGCCCCCCCTGGACCGATGCTCGCTGCATCCCGGGGTAACGGTAATGGTGTTGACTCCCGCTTGTTCCGTTGTGGTTCCACGAAATCAATTCTGTTACCTTGCGTTCGATCTGTTACAGGCCTGTCTTGCGATGTAGAGTTTCTCAAGGTGGCATCCAGTTTGGCCTGTATGGCACATGAGCTCTCAGCCTGGTCCTTGCTCATTGTGTCCATTCTCGTCTCTAGACTCCCTAACTTGCTGTTCACGGTGTCATACCGTTGCTTCATTGCTTGCATGTCTTTGTTGATATTCTCCTCTCGGTCTTTGTCAGTGGCTTCTACTACCTTGTCTGACATCTGCTGAAGCTTTTTTTCCGTCGCCCTTGCCAAGTTAAAATAGTTGTCCAGGTACTCGTTTTTAATGTATCTCATTTCCTTCTTTATCACTTCTCAATCCTCCTCGCTGCACTAAGTTTTTTGTCTATCTGATCTAGCTTTGCCATTAAATTGCCCAGCTCTAGAGGAGTTGTTGTTTCATGGTCAGCTGTTGCCCCATGACTAGCTGTTGCTCCATGTTTGACCTGATCATCGCCTTGGTTGGCTTCTGTTGTTATCGTGGAAACTGTTCCAAACGTTTTGCCTTTCTCGGCCTTCGTTTCGTCCTCCACTGTGTCTCTTGATTTCATTCCAACCATCATGGCGAACGTCTCTGTGAATGACGTTCTTTTCGTTTGAGACTCGTTCTTTATGATTTCCGGCGTATTGCCCGTCGTAACCTCCACAGTGTTTATCGGTGAGAATTCCATCGACTTTTGCTTTTGTTCTTCTACATTCGGCATCGGTGTCGACTCCATTTTCTTCTTGTCCACCTCATCAACACTCTGATCTGGTGTCTCCTGGTCAATTTCCGTTCGTCCCTCTTCAGCGCTTCCTCTCGTCTTGTTTTTCTTTGCGCTTTTTGTGTTGACCATGCTCACCAAAAAGTTCTTTCTTGTTACTTTTTGGTCCGACGGCATCAATTTTTGTTGCGAGGAGTTATATTTTGTCTTTGACTCTAGAATTCTTTTTCTGCTATTGGTACCCTACTTCGCCTCTTAACTTTTATTTACAATTTTTTCTATCTACAATATTAAAATCCACAAATTTCTATTCTACGAATGAAAATTCTAAAAAGATTCCTAATTCTCTTGAGTAAATTAAATCTCCAATTCGTGATCTTAATAAAATGGATCTTTCGCGATTTAATTGTTCGGACCGGTCCTTTTGCTTTTAATTGAGCGTTGAGCTTTTTCGCACTGTCCCAAGACCTTCTAGTACCGTCACACAACTTTTTTGTACCGTACCAAGACTTCCTGGTACTGTCCCAAGACTCTTAGGTACTATCCCAAGACCACTGTCCCAAGATTTCCTGTCCCAAGACCGCACTGTACCAAGACCACTGTCCCAAGACTGCTGTCCCAAGACTGCCTGTCCCAAGACTACTGTCCCAAGACTGCCTGTCCCAAGACTGCACTGTTCCAAGACTGCCTGTCCCAAGACTGCTTGTCCTAAGACTGCCTGTCCTAAGACTGCCTGTCCTAAGACTGCCTGTCCTAAGACTGCCTGTCCCAAGACTGCCTGTCCCAAGACTGCCTGTCCCAAGACCACTGTCCCAAGACTGCACTGTCCCAAGACTGCTGTCCCAAGACTGCCTGTCCCAAGACTGCCTGTCCCAAGACCACTGTCCCAAGACTGCCTGTCCTAAGACTGCCTGTCCCACGACTGCTGTCCCAGGACTGCCTATCCCAAGACCACTGTCCCAAGACTGCCTGTCCCAAGACTGCCTGTCCCAAGACTGCCTGTCCCAAGACTGCTGTCCCAAGACTGCCTGTCCCAAGACTGCCTGTCCTAAGACTGCCTGTCCCAAGACTGCACTGTCCCAAGACTGCTGTCCCAAGACTGCCTTTCCCAAGACTGCCTGTCCCAAGACCACTATCCCAAGACTGCCTGTCCCAAGACTGCCTGTCCCAAGACTGCTGTCCCAAGACTGCCTGTCCCAAGACTGCCTGTCCCAAGACTGCCTGTCCCAAGACTGCCTGTCCCAAGACTACTGTCCCATGACTGCCTGTCCCAAGACTGCCTGTCCCAAGACTGCCTGTCCCAAGACTGCCTTTCCCAAGACCACTGTCCCAAGACTGCCTGTCCCAAGACCACTGTCCCAAGACTTTTCGGTACTGTCCCAGGACTTCTCCACTGAGTGTTGGGACAGTGGGAACTCTTCTCTTTCGTTGTCGGGACTCTTGAACCAGTGTAACTGGCACCACCACTTGAGCTCTAGTAAAAACTTCTCCAAAAAACCCAATCTTACTGGCCAAAAGTTAGAATTACCAACCCCCCTGTATTTATCTCCCTTTTAATTTTTTGATGCAAGTTGAAACCCAATTTGCTCGGCGTGTTTTGTGATCACCTGTTTGTTCAAAACCGATTAAAACTTTTTATAAAAAGCTTGAAAATTTAAACAGGGAAAGAAAAAAATGATAAAAACAGAGAAATAAACCCACCTAAAATTCAAAGGTGACTTGTGTCAACCTTTTATTTGAACAAAACAAACGTCTGGTACCTGATTGCCACGCGTTTTCCTCCCTCCTGCTAGCGATCTTATGGGGTATCACAAACACTGTCTACTTCCGTTCCCCCCATCCGATCCGACCAGGATACCTACCTTAATTCGATGTTCAATTTGGATATCCGCTTCTTAGATTCAACGCGTGCAAGATTCTAATGTTAATAGATCGACGATGTCGATCAATTAGTTACTCTAATGTGTCCCCCCTTTTTATAATTTACAACCGCCAACCTCTAACCTAACTAGCCCCCCTTCTAACCTCCCCCTTTTTAGCCCCCCTCTTAAGCCGAAAATTACCTTAAGCGACGGGTGCTAAACCTCTTGAGAGAAAACAGTAGAACCTGTTGCCAGGCCTGCTTGAGTAAAAACGTTCCTCAAAACAGTGGGGTTCCGCTTATCCAATTTTACCCTAATCTCCTATAATGTAATGTGGATTTTAACGATACCCATTTGACCAACTTGAGAACAGCCCCGTCCTCTCTTGTTGCTCTGATTCCGTGCTGGTTGTTTCCTTGACTTGTCCTGCACCTGATCACCAGCACCTGTTCCAGTCAAGTCTCCTAATGGTCCAGCTAAGTCCCTGTGAACCACTTTCCCAGTCGACTGGTCACCTCTTCCAATTAAGTCTTCTAGTGGTCCAGCTAAGTTGCAAGCTATCTGAAAAACACCCAGGAGCGCCATAAAAAGACTATTTAACAGTCGCTTACTTCGGTCACATATGAGGTTAAAGAAAACTAGGCCCTATAACTATTGGCTCAAGAGTCAGGGACACTATCTCTTGTGTTTTTCTACCTCGAACGGTCGGAGCCAATTCGGTTCACTTGCGACATGAGACTAAAAACCCGCTACAGCTTAAAGGCCTCTACCAAAATACCACCCCCCCCCCACTCTAGAAAATAAGAACGTCCCCATACTCAGGTCTCAAAATACCCAAAATAGGCGAACGCCGTTAAAAACAGGGTCGGAACAGTCCGTATGCTTACTTTTTATTAGACAGTGGAACGTTGATCCATTTCAGATGGATGAACCTAAAACTCTCCTGACCTCAACATAACAATCATAAAACACACTCAAGAAAATTAAATTGGGAACTCACATACCAGCACACTCGAGAATTAGAGGTAACTAAATTAGTAAGCAACTTGAGAATAATTGGGGAATTAAGTTTGGTTCAATAAGTTCTAATCGAACAAGTTTTATCTCGAGAATGGAGTTTTGGTTCTGGACCATTGGGACACCTCGGTTGTCCACCTTTCCACCGAAGGTTCACTCTGGTGCAACTGAATTTCGATGTTCTTTGTTTTCTGTATCAAGATAGGACAGCTCTACTCTGGTATTATTTAGATGTCGGAAATTGCGAATAGCAATTTCCCGCTGCTTAATTTGACCACTTTCCCGCGATTGTTATTCGGTCGTTCTGATCTTGTTTTTCTGAGATTTTAAGTTTTCGCGAGAAAGTTGGGCATGACAGGCTCAATTCGAATTTTTGAAAAATTAAATTACGTAGTTCGTATTCCTCAAGGTCAAACTTCCAAATATGACCGACTGGCACACAAAGAGGATCGACGCGTCTATTAGTTGTATAAAATTTCTATCCTATTACGAACGCCTTAAAGAACTCATCTCCCTTTTGTTACCGTAACATTTCGTATTAAGAGAAATGAACGTAGTGATTATTCTTATATAGGACTTCGTGATTTTTTAAATTATTTTTTCGCGGTTTGACTTTTGATTTTTTGTTTTAGTTCACTTCAATTCTTTTGTTAAAAGGAAGGCAAAATCCATTATCGAACTGCAAAAATGTAAAGATCACGAAAAACGTGATCGACATCTAATTTCGAAAACGGAAATTAACTATCGGTTTTCCCGGCGAAATAAAGGTATAACCTATTGATCCAGTTTTATCAAATTTGGTTAATTTTATTTTAAAAAATCAATCAAAGTTCCACAAACTTGAAGAGCTTTAAGGCCATCTATTTTTTTTTTCGAAATTCAATAGTTGAAGGTTTCTCAAAAGTTGAAGGTTTCTTTTCCAATTGTCAGTTGGCTATTCACTGATTTCAAGAAAAGAGCAGAATATTTTTCAGAGAAGATGTAGTAATTCTACCGGCTTTCATGAAACTGTTGATATTTGAAACTCTTTATATGAGCTTGCCTCAAGTTATAGAAACGTGGCGATTTGAATAGATAATGCAAGCATGGTTCTTGAAGAGCAGTATTGTTATAAGCAAATGCAGAAAGGCTGTGCTTTCCAGAAGCTTCGCGGGCACAAAAAATTTTCTCGAGTCTACAAACTGAGTACAAATCTGTGTTCCATAACATGGTACCCAACGCGAACAAGGGGTTCTAAATTGTTAATAGCAGATATTAAGAGAGTGAAAAGAGGTGTTAATCCAAACAGAAATAATATTTTTCCATCGAGTGCAATATCCTACAGTCTGACAATTTTCTTGAGCAATCAAAGTATTGAATTACGTAAGTATTCGACTTTTTTCTGACTTATTTAGCTCAAATGTTATTCGACGTGAGTTGAATTTTGTTTAGTCGCAACTACAAATGATTCTGCCGATATATGGCTGGTGGGGTTGCGCTACCTGGTTTACAGAGCGACTTCCCATGAGCACACTGTTCGGGGAATGTGGCTCTCGGAAGAGTTTCATCGCCTAATAGAGTCATCAGCGGGCGAAAGGGTGACAACAACAACCCCTACTAACTCGACAGGAAGAATGTCACCTGAACAACTCCCCGCCTCACCGTTACACAGAGCATCAGTCGAAGTTTCAACAAGGAGTCCGTCATTTGGCAATGAATATGCTGCATCAGCAATGTTAGCATTTGAAAATTTGTTGTTTTAATCCGAGTAGATGGAAAAAGGTAAACAAAATAGTTGTGTACATGAAGTTTTTTCTAGTTTAAGTAGATTATATTTTAAGTAGATTATATTTTAAGGAAATTAAATTATATGGAAGCCCCGAAGTTACTTAAATATAGTAGCCGACATTGGAAAGGCAGTATTTTGACGCACAAAAAAAATTTCAAATTGTTTTTGGAAATTTTTGTAAACACCGTGCGGTTTCTCTAATGAGCTAGGTCAGTTTTTGAACGTTTTTGAGATTAAGTGATAATGTTTTTTTTGGCGATAACATCAAAGAATTTGGTTTAAGTTTAAATAAGTTTATTCAATAATTAAGAGATAAATATCAGTAATTTTTATTGCTTCAGCCACACGATCACGAGAAACCTTGCTGTTATAGCAGACTCTGCACGTTTCAAGTGAAAAATTTTTTGTTTGTAAACTCAATTGAAAACGCATGTTATTTTTCCCATAATTCATTCATTTAGTTCACCCGCAGTTTGTAGTAACAAAATAATCTTTAATTCAAATTTCTTTGATACAGTCGCTTTCCAGTTATCGCGAAGTATTCATTCTGGTACCCCTCACAACTTAACCAAGCACTTTGACGGAGCATACTACATAAAGTCAAACTCCATCAGCTATGGAGAAGCTTCAACTAGCTCAAAGCTGTTGTTAGTTGTCCGGGAATTCTGAAACTGCAAGTTTCTCAAGTCAGCTACCTTTTCTCTCACTTCAATCACAACCAAGGCGACTTCAGCGATGAAATGAGTGAGCTTGAGCATTGCATGGCTCAATCCTCAATTGCTGATCACTATCTGCTTGACCCTATCACTAATGATGCAGAAGATGATCAAGTCGCAAAGAGAATGATAGTCGCATCAAGTCAACCTATCAACCTTTTGCAACTACGCAGATCAAACCTACAAAAATCGCACCAAGATTGCAGCAGATCAGTCTGCCTAGCTTCATTGGCAATTTCACTGCTTGGCTAAGCTTCATTGATCATATTGATTAAGTGTCTGTAACCATGAAAAGCTGTCACCCGTTCAGAAATTGAGGTATCTCAGAGCTGTTTGACGAGCTGCTTCTTTACTATTGTGAACTTGGAGACGACAAAGCAACTACGAGGTAGCGCTTCAAATGCTAGAGTAGAAAAGCAAAAATGATCGAGTCATCCTTCGGAAGCTCATGTCAAGGATCCATGGATTCACTGCAGTTCGAACGGATAACTTATCTCAACTTCGTCTGCAAAGCTCAATCATCAATAAGACTGTAATCGATCAAGGCACTCGGAAGAGCAGTGGAAAACTATATATGGCCTTTCATTCTGTTCAAGAACCTCAGTCCTGACACTCAGAAAACATAGGAACCTGCTGGCGATGGGACTGATGCTTAGATTGACTCATTGGATTCTTAGACAACAATATCAGTGTTTTTGAGCTGGTTGAAAAATCTCATTTTGGACTCCGCAAACCTGAGCGTGATCAGCAGATGTTCTCAATAGAATAGAGCAGATCTCACCAGAAAATTTCTAATGGATTTTCTTTAACCTAGTGTAAAGTTCAAACTTGGTCAGACAGACATCCAATTTGGCAGTGTGAGAATTACAGATCGATGACAAAATCAGAACGAAAGAATTTTGTGACCAGCAATAGGATGTGCTTCAATTGTTTGTCTACCAGTCACTGCATCCAGTAATGTCCTTCAACATCACCGTAATAAATTGAAAAAAAAGCATCTTACAACTCTTCATGGCAGTTCTAGCCAACCTCACAGCGACAATAGATGCTCTTCAAAACAACCGCACTGGAACTATCACTTTTCCAACGTCAATGTTCAATCTCAGAAAGGTCGAGTTCTCCCTTTGTGGTGCAGAGAGACTTGTCTAGCGCACAATCGGCATCAATAACGATCTCTGACATGTTTTCTGCATAACTCACGTGATTCAACACGCATCCAACGTCACGCCTACGTGTAATATCGGTTCCAAGATAACGAAACGGCAGTTCTTGTGTTTTACCTATTTGGAAAACCGTCTCTAGATGATGGACCACTGACTCTTTGAAAACTCTAGAGCCGGCCCACCAAAAACATCGACGTGCACAGTCAGTACACCTTCACACACCCTATTGTTCGTCAAATAGAACACACAGATGTCGAATTTGGACAGGTTACATCCGGACAACACCAATTCTTTTACAACTCGATCAAACCACTTTCGTGGAGCGTCTGACAGACCATAAACCGCTTTCTTCAATTTCCAGAGCAATCTGACTTTTTGAGTTTCAAAGGGCGGTAAAACAAAGACTTCCCGGTTTAGTTCCGAACCTTGGAGGAAGGCCGTTTTTACATCTAAAAAACCGGTTTCCCAGCCTTGCTGTGATGTGAACATTGCTAACAATACACGAAGGAACTCTCGTGAACAAGTAGAAGAATCTTTGACCCGGACATTATTCGCAGGATCCTGGAACCCTCTAGCTACTAACCTCGCCTTTTTCTGTCCTCCTTCTTTCAAGATGCAAACCCAACGTGTTTCGAGATATGGCTGATTCTTCATTTGCACTTCTGTGAAAACTTTGAAAAACCTCCAGCTTTCAAGTTCGTCTAGTTTCGCGTCATGATAATCACCATGAAGTTTGGTTTCTGTCAAGAGGCATAAGTCATCTTCTATTTCCTCCCAAGTTGTGACGCTGGATGACAAATCAATAGCACCTGTTGACCCCGCCAAATGGTCCGGTTTTTGACACTCTAAAATGACCCAGTTTTTATGCTTTCCTGTTGCTTTCCCCGCTCTACTCACAATTCTCCCTTGATCGAATTCATCTTCTCCGGTGAAAGAAAACATGATAATCTTGTTCTTGCCAGGAAAAAGGTTCGCTTTGTCAACACTCGATTTTGTAATAATTCCTGATCTTCAACAACTGCCTCGTTTTCAGCCAGGGACGGCAGAGTCACGGGTGAGTCGGCATGGCTTACAGCCGGGACACTTGAAACAACAGGAACGAGCGAGTCTTCGACTCCTTCTTCTGACGGAGAAGCAGAAACTCGACTTTATGAGCACACAGAGCGTTCTTCAGTCAAATGAGTATTCCTCAAGGACTTCTGTTTCTACAAATTCTTTTCGTCGATGACTTTTTCTTCTATTGTATGTGCACACTTTCGAAACCTTGTTGGGTGTACTCTAGAAACAAAACCTCCTTGACGCACAACCACGATTTTTCCGTTTTGTCTGATAATTCTTCCAGGTCCTTGCCACACATTACTCTTCTCTCTTTTGTAGTAACTCTTTTTGCCGTTTGAAAAAGGTCCGGCGTCACTTCCGACGTTACTCTTAAGAGCCCGCTTTATTCTGTTGGATGACCCAGCTTCAAGGTAAGCCAGTTGTGTTCGGTGGAGCAACGACAAGTGTTGTGCGACAGAAACTGACTGCGTTTAGTTCTCCAGTGCAGGTGGACGGTTCGTAATAACGGTAGGAAGACTGGGATTTTTGCCAAAAACTAGCTGATAAGGTCTAAAACCATAAGAAATGTGTAAACAATTCTTTACATGTGCGGCCTATTTGATCAAAAGTGCATCGTCAGTTCTGGAAGTTTTGCCTTCCTCAGATCGTAATTTCAAAAACACTTCTGTGAAAACGCTGTTGTGCCGTTCACAGACTCCGTTAGCTCAAGGACTTTCTGCCGCCGTTGTCAGAATGTCGATGTCGTAATTTTCGCACATCGTCACAAAACTATTGTTGTAAAACTCACCTCCATTGTCTGCTAAAACCTTCGCGGGGTTACCATAAACAGAACACCAAATTGTGAGAAAACCATGTATTATTGTCTCTGCTAACTTGTCGTAAATTACGGTAGCTGCACTGTATTCCGTAAAAAGGTCGTTGACATGGAGATAGTAGGTGCTATGACCAATACTGGTCAACTCATGCAAATCCATTGCAACGACTTGGTTAAAATGCGTCGTCAAAGGAAGACTTACGACTGGTCTTGCTTTTGCTCGTCCAAATTTAACGCATACTTCGCATTCTGAGACAAGTTCCTCTACCATATTTTCAGTCTTTTGACACCAGTTACCAGCATTAACGAGCAACGATTTCAACTTCTCCATTGAGCAGTGATCAAACTGTTTATGCAGTTTTAACAGATCTGTCTTCTCCAAAGCAGACGCCAGGAAAACTCGGGATAGATTTTCTGCTCCTGTCGGTATTAAATCAACAGCAAGATGGCCAGTAGAACACACCGTTAGATGCACTTTTTCACCGGATTCTCCAATAGACAAGCAATTATCCCGCAAGAACAACACAACATCCGCGTTTTTCAGTGATTTCACACTGAGTAACACAGGCAAAGTTCCATCAACAATCTCACACTTCAATAGGCAATCAACGTGTCCAACTCTCGACGGAATAAGGACACGTTTAGTAGCTTTCTGACGTTTTCCGTCTCCGAAAACAATTACAGAACTAGTATCTTCGTACATTAACAGTTTCTTCAGACTTGAAGGTAAAATTCTAGATACGACTTCAACCACTGTTCTCCTGCTACTGAAGAAGTGCAAGCTGTGTCTAAAATACCTTTTCCTGCACACTCTTTGGCCAGACTTGAGCAGGAGATCGCAAGCGTCAGAAACACTTGTTCCGACTCGTCCTCCGGATCTTTACTGCGTTTCTTCAGAGGAGGCTCCCTACTCGGCTCTACATGAGTGTTTTCTGGACAATTCCGGGCCCAGTGATAACGGGACCCACAGACCGCCCATGTTGACACTTTCACACTGTTGTGAAACGGATTCAACTGTTTCTGTGAGCTCGATTGTTCTCTGCGGTTACCAACAGCTCTGTAGCTTCTATTTTGAAATCCCTCTATTTCTGAACCCTGAATTTCTTCCCCGATCTCGCCATTTCGAAGACATGAGGCGGTATCAGCGGGTTGTTCCAAGTCAACCATCTGTCTAGTTGCAAAAGCCGGTTCTTCTTTTAAGGTAGGTCCATCAGTGCTTGAGCTGGTGGTATTGTTCCGGTAAATCCTTTTCAAAGAGCTCTTGGTTTTTTCGAAAGTGAGATCTGTTGTCACAGCTAGAATAGCACGTATGTCTTGTTGGGAAAGATTGGCACAATGAGGGAACTTAAGCGCTAGAATAACATCAGGTATTGCAACTTACTTTTTGCTTAGCAACTTCGCATGTGCTCTTTCAAAACTCATAATATACTCAGATACAGCAGAGGATCCTCTTCTGATACCCTCGAACTCTTCGTACGCTTGATAAAGCAAATCGCTGGTTTCATGGGAGAATTCTTCTTCTAGTTTAGAAAAGAGCCTGACTTTTCCATCCTCGCTAATCAAAACAGATTCTTCTTGCTCCAGAGCAACTTCCGGTTTTCTACCACTCAAAGACAGGCCAATAATTCCGCCTTGTTTCGCAGGGGCAATATCTGTAATATGGGCCCACAAATTGACTTCTGATTTCCATGACTGGAAGGGTTTATCATCGTCCCATGGAGGTGGGGCTTTTGAATTGTTACTTGACATTCTCCTGCTACCATGTGAAAACAGGTTTTTAAAGTAAGACTACAATTCAAGCCCCACAGACATACATCTGAAATAGGGAAAGGTTGTCTAACATTAACAAAGTTTCAAAGCTTTCTGTATGCCTTTGGAAAACATCACGAGCATCCAAATACACAAATTGCAGTCAGAGACCTACAAAAGACCAGGTACTACAACTAAGCAGATTCAGTTCTCGACAAGCCTAATAAAACTGATCTTTTGCTTGGACCGTCTGTCTACACAATTATTTTTAAGTCACCGAACGTCAAGGAAGGAACTATACTTGACCGACACGATCCTTGGTTCGAAAGTCTCAGGTATTGCTGATACCGACCAAAAAGTCACTACGCGAAAACACTCGCCGCGGAATGGAGTCAATTTTCTCGACAATAGTCAACATCATTTGATAGTTTCTGGGAAATTGTTGATCTTCATCCATCTCCAGAATCCCAACACGTTCAGCGAGCTTGATTGCTTACGATATTTTGATCAGACTACAACATATGGCTCAGATGGACGAGCTATGCTGAGATTGCTCATCAACAGATCGTAGGGGTTCTACGGCGAAATCAGCCATGAATAGCTGCCCGATTTTGGTCAACATGCTAAGTTTTCCCGCAATTCATTTTAAATGTAAATACGCTACGACTGAGTCGTGAAGCCTCGAACCAATATAACGGTTTTTCCACGGATGGTTTGCACTGGCCATTTCGAGAATTTGGTTGTGTCAGATCAATTTCAGGTTAACAAAATAATTAAATATATTGGTAATTTGTGGTTTGTTTTTCAAATGACATATTTTGGTCAAATGACATATTCATGCGTTTTAAATAGCCTCTTATGAGAAATTTGCTTTATTGGGGTATAAGTTTACGAACTCTTTTTTGCGAACTTTTTTTTACGAATTATTTTTTCACTTTTTTTGCTTTACTTCGTGTTCCTCCTTGCTATAAGGTTTTCGCTTAGACGACTCTTAATTCAACATCATTTGATACTGAAAAAGTTGCTTCGTTTGATACTAAACGATTTTCCTATGTGTGTATGTTTGGGAATTTTTTTAAGTAGTTTTTTTAATGACAATTTACTGCAATCTAATTGTTTGGTCAAACATTGTCAGCACTGTTAACGCTGCTTAAGTTTTGTTTTGATGCTAATTCAACACTGGCGGTTGTCGTATCTAATTGGCGTGTTTACTAAAAATGATTTTATGCAAATCGAGAAAAATTTTGGTAGCCTTTTTTGACGTTTTTCCAAAATTATTTTGACGTGGCGATTTTCGTCTGATTTTCCTTCGGCAAATCTGCCATGCTGTGTTTGGGTTTTCGGAGGTGACGCGAAGCTTCTTTTTCCATCTGTGTTCTAACTTATAAGAAACATAACAAATAGTCAAATTCAAATTAGTTACTGAAAGGTGATCGCTTCATAACTTGCTTCGAAACTATTAAAATGCAAGGTATCACAATTATTCTTCCATGTTTGTTTGAAAATTATTTATTTCATTATTGCTAGTATACCATTTCATTAGCTAGAGATGATTTTTAGCGACTTTTTTGTCATCAATTTTTTAGTCATTCAATCAAGTTAAGTTTATGCAAAAAAAATTAAAAGAATTATTTTATTCATAATATTCAATTCCGGAAAGTGTTAGGCAAGTTGACATCATCAGGCTAGAACATAAAATTAGTAGCTCGACAAGAAGATATAAGAAAACTATCTTGAGACTGCTCGGCTCATCATGTGCTGTTAGATGATGGCGACTAACGAAAACGTCCTGGAGTTAGGTTTAAATATTCGCCCCTTGTTTTTTTACTTTTGAATTTTCGATTTTCCCACCTCATCGACTTGTAGGAAAAAAAATGTTTTGCTCCAAGGTCGTTTTTTTTGTAGAGGAGTAAGTAACAACGCAGCAGTGTATGGCGAAATGACTTCAACAACCCAGCATTTGACAGTGAGTCTTCAGAAGTGCATCACTAGAATAAAAGAGCTGTCCTACTACTGTGCACAATTCTCACTGGCATCACTGTCTGCTAGAGATAACAGGAACATCACGGAGAGGGAGTTCATAGAAATGTATGAGTTCTACTCAAGCGTGGACCCTGTGCTATCCTTCATCTTTCAGTTCAACAGCAACGGTAAACATCATTATCCTTAATTATACACAGTAGGTTGAAATCGCTTAGGTGTTTCAGTCGCATTCTGCTACTTTCACTGCAACCGTCTATCCTGGTTTTATTTTAATTTTGGTCTTTCAGTTTTTTTTCATTCCAAGTTTTTGATTTTTGTACTCTCTGAAGTCGCTTTCATTTTTTTGCTTCATCTTAAGTGGTTTTGGTAGAAAACATATGGGCGTAGTCGCCTTATATTGCGCTTTTTGAAAGAAAAATTGGTTTAATCTTTGTTTTCCGAGGTATAACAAATTTTCGGTAAATTTTTCTCAATGCTTATTTAACCTAGGCGATTGTGTTTTACGATATGCTGTCTTTAAATTGAACATCATTTGAGACAAATACATTTTGCAGATTTGTGTAATTTTGCAGGCGTAATTATTTTCTAACTTTGTTATTCAAGTTTTTTAATCGACTATTTCTTTGTCCTAGCTTGCAACGCTATGTCTGGTTGGTATTGTAAGTGGTGCGAAGCTCCTCTACGCCTCATTGCTATTTTACATATGGCTTCCGACTACGTTTCTGTCCTAGATTGCTATGCTATGTCAGTGTGGTATCGTAAATCTGTAAGAAATAGAAAAGTTGCTTTATTAATTAACCTTAGCAATTTTGAGACTCCTTCCCACTTGGCCCGGAGGTAACGCTGTGCCTTGATAGCCTTAGGACTAGGGTTCGGGTCCCGGCCTGTTGCAACGCGAATGTAAGCTAGAGTATAAATGCATATAAAACTAAACAAAGCAGGTTGGAGGAACATATCAATATCGCCAATAAATTTTGTTTTGCCGAGAATACGAATTTGTTATTGATTTTTCGGTTTTCAATTCATCCCTAGGGAAATTGAGCCATTTTTTTATTGTAGATGCAAGTGTTTTTGATTCACTGCTGTAATTTACTGCTCCTTTGATTTGCTCATGTAAGCTTTATTCGGTGGTTTCGGCATATGTAGGCTTTATTCGGTGGTTTCGGCTAAATGGTTTCGGCATATGTTTTACTGGCTTATTTACCTGATTTTGTGTCGCTTCAAAGGCAAAAATAGTTGATTTTTAAAGAGTAATGAACGTAATGAAGACACTTATTGTTGGTCTTGGTGATTTTTTTTGTTCTTTTTTTAAGGAAAAAGTCTCAAAATGCTCTAATATCAGTCAATTTTAATACATTTCTAAATGCTCTTAGGTTTATATGCGCTTATGAGTTCAATTGAAATTCATCCGCTAAAATTTAACTCCAAATGCAAACGTGGAAATAGCGCAAAAAAAAACGTCAACAATTTCTAGTTTCGAAAGTGGAATTTAATTTTTAGATTTCCAGCGGAATAAAAGCTTTACTTATTGATCCAGTTTTCTCAGGTTGGGTTAATGATATCAAAAAGGCGCCAATGGTAAATTTTCTAGAAGTTCAAAGAGCTTTAAGGGCATCTTTTTTTTTTAAATTCGAAAGTTGAGATTTGAGATGCACTTAGGTTTATATGCGCTTGTGAAATCAATTGAAATTCATCCGCTGAAATTTAACTCCAAATGCGAACGTGAAAATGGCCCAAAAAAACGTGAACAATTTATAGTTTCGAAAGTGGAATATAATTATTAGATTTCCAGCAGAATAAAAGCTTCACTTATTGATCCAGTTTTCTCAAGTTGGGTTAATGATATCAAAAAGGCGCCAATGATAAATTTTCTAGAAGTTCAAAGAGCTTGAAGGGCATCTTTTTTTTCTTTTAAATTCGAAAGTTGAGATTTGAGATGCAGTTAGGTTTATATGCGCTTGTGAAATCAATTTAAATTCATCCGCTGAAATTTAACTCCAAATGCGAACGTGGAAATGGCCCAAAAAACGTGAACAATTTATAGTTTCGAAAGTGGAATTTAATTTTTAGATTTCCAGTAGAATAAAAGCTTCACTTATTGATCCAGTTTTCTCAAGTTTGCTTAATGATATCAAAAAGGCGCCAATGATAAATTTTCTAGAAGTTCAAAGAGTCAATTTTAATACATTTCTAAATGCATTTAGGTTTATATGCGCTTGTGAGTTCAATTGAAATTCATCCGCTGAATTAAAACTCCAAATGCGAACGTGGAAATTGCCCAAAAAAACGTGAACAATTTATAGTTTCGAAAGTGGAATTTAATTTTTAGATTACCAGCAGAATAAAAGCTTTACTTATTGATCCAGTTTTCTCAAGTTGGGTTAATGATATCAAAAAGGCGCCGATGATAAATTTTCTAGAAGTTTACAGAGTCAATTTTAATACATTTCTAAATGCACTTAGGTTTATATGCGCTTGTGAGTTCAATTGAAATTCATCCGCTGAAATTTAACTCCAAATGCGAACGTGGAAATGGCGCAAAAAAACGTGAACAATTTCTGGTTTCGAAAGTGGAATTTAATTTTTAGATTTCCAGCAGAATAAAAGCTTTACTTATTGATCCAGTTTTCTCAAGTTGGGTTAATGATATCAAAAAGGCGCCAATGATAATTTTTGTAGAAGTTTAAAGAGTCAATTCTAATACATTTCTAAATGCACTTAGGTTTATATGCGCTTGTGAAATCAATTGAAATTCATCCGCTAAAATTTAACTCCAAATGCAAACGTGGAAATAGCGCAAAAAAAACGTGAACAATTTCTAGTTTCGAAAGTGGAATTTAATTTTTAGATTTCCAGCGGAATAAAAGCTTTACTTATTGATCCAGTTTTCTCAGGTTGGGTTAATGATATCAAAAAGGCGCCAATGGTAAATTTTCTAGAAGTTCAAAGAGCTTTAAGGGCATCTTTTTTTTTAAATTCGAAAGTTGAGATTTGAGATGCACTTAGGTTTATGTGCGCTTGTGAAATCAATTGAAATTCATCCGCTGAAATTTAACTCCAAATGCGAACGTGGAAATGGCCCAAAAAAACGTGAACAATTTATAGTTTCGAAAGTGGAATTTAATTTTTAGATTTCCAGTAGAATAAAAGCTTCACTTATTGATCCAGTTTTCTCAAGTTGGCTTAATGATATCAAAAAGGCGCCAATGATAAATTTTCTAGAAGCTCAAAGAGTCAATTTTAATACATTTCTAAATGCACTTAGGTTTATATGCGCTTGTGAGTTCAATTGAAATTCATCTGCTGAATTTAAACTCCAAATGCGAACGTAGAAATGGCCCAAAAAAAACGTGAACAATTTCTAGTTTCGAAAGTGGAATTTAATTTTTAGATTTCCAGCAGAATAAAAGCTTTACTTATTGATCCAGTTTTCTCAAGTTCGGTTAATGATATCAAAAAGGCGCCGATGATAAATTTTCTAGAAGTTCAAAGAGTCAATTTTAATACATTTCTAAATGCATTTAGGTTTATATGCGCTTGTGAGTTCAATTGAAATTCATCCGCTGAATTAAAACTCCAAATGCGAACGTGGAAATGGCCCAAAAAAACGTGAACAATTTATAGTTTCGAAAGTGGAATTTAATTTTTAGATTTCCAGTAGAATAAAAGCTTCACTTATTGATCCAGTTTTCTCAAGTTGGCTTAATGATATCAAAAAGGCGCCAATGATAAATTTTCTAGAAGCTCAAAGAGTCAATTTTAATACATTTCTAAATGCACTTAGGTTTTAATGCGCTTGTGAGTTCAATTGAAATTCATCTGCTGAATTTAAACTCCAAATGCGAACGTAGAAATGGCCCAAAAAAAACGTGAACAATTTCTAGTTTCGAAAGTGGAATTTAATTTTTAGATTTCCAGCAGAATAAAAGCTTTACTTATTGATCCAGTTTTCTCAAGTTGGGTTAATGATATCAAAAAGGCGCCGATGATAAATTTTCTAGAAGTTCAAAGAGTCAATTTTAATACATTTCTAAATGCATTTAGGTTTATATGCGCTTGTGAGTTCAATTGAAATTCATCCGCTGAATTAAAACTCCAAATGCGAACGTGGAAATTGCCCAAAAAAAACGTGAACAATTTATAGTTTCGAAAGTGAAATTTAATTTTTAGATTACAAGCAGAATAAAAGCTTTACTTATTGATCCAGTTTTCTCAAGTTGGGTTAATGATATCAAAAAGACGCCGATGATAAATTTTCTAGAAGTTTACAGAGTCAATTTTAATACATTTCTAAATGCACTTAGGTTTATATGCGCTTGTGAGTTCAATTGAAATTCATCCGCTGAAATTTAACTCCAAATGCGAACGTGGAAATGGCGCAAAAAAACGTGAACAATTTCTGGTTTCGAAAGTGGAATTTAATTTTTAGATTTCCAGCGGAATAAAAGCTTTACTTATTGATCCAGTTTTCTCAAGTTGGGTTAATGATATCAAAAAGGCGCCAATGATAATTTTTCTAGAAGTTCAAAGAGTCAATTCTAATACATTTCTAAGTGCACTTAAGTTTATATGCGCTTGTGAGTTTAATTGAAATTCATCCGCTGAAATTTAACTCCAAATGCGAACGTGGAAATGGCGCAAAAAAAACGTGAACAAATTCTAGTTTCGAAAGTGGAATTTAATTTTTAGATTTCCAGCGGAATAAAAGCTTTACTTGTTGATCCAGTTTTCTCAAATTGGGTTAATGATATCAAAAAAGCGCCAGTGATAAATTTTCTTCGATTTTTTCTGTTTGCTTGCGTTCATTACTCTTTTCCAACTGTCATTTGGCTATATTTTAAAAGTTTCAGGTAATTTGTGATGCAAGATTTCAAAGTTTTAAAAGTTAATTGCTCAATTTAAAAGTTAAACAATTTGCTACGGTATTTTTTTTGTTTATGGGCGTCTGCCTAGTTGCTGCCGGCTTAGTGGCTGCTCGGTAAATGGTAAAAGTTTTTTGATTACCGGTGATTATGTTTTTTTTTCACTTGCGAAAGCAAGTGTCTTGTAATTGAGAACTAGACTTTTTCCGTAAACAACTTCTCTTACAAGTTTTCAACTTGCTTTATTATAGCATTTTAACAACTTCCAGGTTCCATCGCACTTGGCCTAGAGGATGAAGGTGCCGCCGGCCTAACACAGATTTATCTGTCTAAGCTTTGTAAGAACTTGAGCTTATGTACCGAGGAACCCAGGGCAGGTAGTTTTCTTGAGCAGAGAATCTTTAAACACGTTTAAATTTTACGAAATTGTTTATGACAACAGTTGTGTTTTCAGCTCAACAGGTTTCGATCCAAAATTTGTTGCCGTTTGGTAAATGATTTCCATTTTTAAGGGCTGTTAAGCAAGCAAAGCGTAGTGTAGTATTACGAAGTTTTTTTTTGCTAAACTAAGCTGCAAATAAAAATTCTTATTTCGTGGCACTTTTGGTATTTTCTAACTTTATTAAAGCTTATTCAATTATAAACAATTTAATGGCATGTTTTACTGCTTTATTTTTGGCTAGTGTTAGGTTCTGTCTGAAAAAACATGTATTATGAAAATTTATGGGATTTGTTGTTCGTTTCTTTTGCGACGCTTACCTTTCTCATATGTTGAAAGCACAATTCTGAAACGAAAATCAAAAGAACAAATTATGGGGATTTCCCCTTCTCCAATGGTAATTCCCTAAATTTGTTTGAAAAAAGCCTATTTTTTGACAGTTTGGCTAATGACTTTTTTCAGGAACTACCTTGGGGATTAAGGGTGCAATCGAAACAAAAAAAACTAGTTATGCGAATCCTACTGTCGCAAACGGCTATGCTCTGCCATTTGGAAAAAAAATGTGGCCCAAGAAAATGGCCAATTTTTGAAGTTTTGCCCGTTTTTCGTTTGCTATACAAATACCTGCTGATTCTGAATTTAATAGTTCATCCAAACTATCGTGGTGTTTAGATTTTTCCTGCTTTCTATGTTTTAGTATGTTTTTTTTGTAGAAAAGGTGACATGGACTTCGGAAAATTTCCTTCTTCAAATGTTAACCGTTTATTTTAAGAATTTTTGTTACTATTCTCGAAAACTAATAGCTAATCTGATAACAAGGGACCAATCTAAAAAAATCAGGTTCTGGAAATTTCAATCTAAAAATCAGGGTGAGGAAAACACGGGCTGTTCCTATGCTTTAGTAGAGAAAAGTTTTGTGGATTTTTGGAATCTTTTTAACTTTTTTGAAAGTTATGCAGTCAAATCTGAGATAAAGTCTTCAACTGAAAGAGCGAGTAGTAGTTTTCTCCTTTAAATAAGTGGTTAGTTCTATACTTACGCAGAGAAACACTAAACCCTAAAGTCCATTTTTGAAATTTACGAATTTCCGTATCTGTACAAAGTTGGTTTTAGATATTAGAACAGGTAGATTCAGATTTGCTGGGCCATTGGTTTACTTGCAATCGACCGTGGCGCAGATGCGAGTACATGAGATTCATAATCAACCGGTCGGATAATCAAATCCGAACATTTAAATAGTTAAATTTTTTTTTCGAATTTTCGCTGCATAGCATTGGCAATATGATAGAAACTGTAGTTGCCTTATTGGTGCTAGGCTGATGTTAAAGTAATTTTTTCCCTAATTTTTTATAGTTTTTTTTTGGCTGGTCTGTTTTTCATTGAATATTTTGTAGCTCAAAGTGTTTTTGCATCGCAAGTGTTGCGAAGGTACGCTTCGCCTCTGTATTTAAATTCATATTCCTTGCTTAGCTATTTTGCTTAGATTTCTTGTTTGGTAAAAACAGTTAATATAATATGTAGTTTGGTAAAAACAGTTAATATAAAATATATGAGGTTGAGTTTTCATTGTATGAGATTGAAAAGACCGTCTAATTCCCATGTGTGCTTGCATACTATGCTAGTCTCTTTTTACTTAACCCGTCTGTCTACGGCCTTCGATAAATCTCTGTGGTAATATTTGACCTATATTTTTGATTTTTTCCTTGTTCAAAAACTAATCTGTCGTGTGGATTCAATGGACTTAACGGATGGTGGGAAACTTCACGGCATTAGCAGGCACTCATCAGTTTTTTCTTACAAATTTATCGATTCAGTTTTCGATCTATTGATCCAATTTTCTCTAGTTGGGTTCTTGTTATCAAAAATTTTTCTAGAAATTTAAAGAGCTTAAATGGCATCTATTTTTTTTCTTTGAAATTGAAAAGTTGAGATTTTTTCAGGAAAGTCTGTGTTTTTTTTTGTTTACTTGCGTTCATTACTCTTTTTCAATCTTCGTTTGGCTATGTTCATGAAATAGAAAATTGATTTATAGGCTGGCTATTTAGATTCGAGGTCATGGTTCTGTTTGAGGGTCAGTTGGTCTAGAGATCAATTTTCGCTGATTCTTTTTTGCCTCTTGGTTTTCGGCTGAAGCTCTGTCGATTTAGTTTCCGAAATAAATAGTTTTCTAATTGACAGACTGGGGTTTAGCAATCCTGAATTGCGATAAAATCATAAAACTACATCAATTGTAACATAGTTCGAAGTTCTGTTTGCTAATTTTCTAGCGTCATGGTGCACTCAATCTATAATTTTTGTATCGCAAGTGGTGCGAAACTCAGTTATTCTTCCATTTACCTAGAAATGAATCAAAACATTTAACAAAGAGCAAATATTTCCTTTAAGGTGATGATTACTTGACTTGCGAAGAGTTGGGAGCCTTCTTGCGTGTTGAGTTCCCCTACCTCTCGCAGGTGGACGAAGTGTACCTGGCGACTGTAGTAGAACACTATGAACCCATCCCCATTCTGAGAACAGAGAACTGCCTTGGAATAGACGGGTTGATTACTTACTTGTTGAGTCCGGACCTGTCGGTGATGAATCCGTTCCACACGCAAGTCAACCAGGACATGAGTCACCCAATTACTCATTACTTCATCAACGCATCACACAACTCCTTTCTCACAGGTATTTCTAACTAGCTAATTTATGGACGTTTTTATTGAGGTTTTGTTTCTATAACTATTTGAAGCTTCTTAGATATAGCAGACCATTAAGAAAGCGAATAAACCAAATAGATAGATTAGTGGAGATAAATGTCGCACTTTGCTGGCTTTTGGAAACTCATGATATCCAAAGCTTCAGCTTAACTCAAGAAATGTTAATGCCCAGGAACGTTTATATCAAGGAACGGTATTATCAAGGAATGTTACCTTGCCAGATCGTATATCATGGAGAGCTGCAGTTCGAAAATGCCTGGTGCTGCCAACCCCATCTGATGGGACAGAGACATCACCATAATCAAAAATCGGATATGATGATGATAATGATGACGACTAAGATATTCTGACAAACAATGCTTTTTCTGACTGGGAGTGTTGAAATTTAGGCGACCAGCTGTACTCACAGTCTAGTGAGGAAATGGTTGGTAAGCTACTGTTGGATGGAGTGAGGCACGTAGAACTGGACTTGTGGGATGGTCCAGATGGGGAGCCAGAGTGCTACCATGCTTACACTAGTACTTCTAAAGTCAAGGTCATCCAGGTGCTGCAGATCATCAGGGACACCGCCTTCGCCTCATCACTATTCCCAGGTGAGTATCCAATATAGACTGGTATTTGTTTTAAGATCGTTATTGTTTTAACTCATTAATTCAGGCACTAGAGTATGAGACGTTCCACTTCTTTGTGGCGTTATCGTCCCCCTGGATTTGAGTTGCAGGCTAAAAAGTTGGAACATCCTGGCAGAGGGTGCCATAGTTTATCGAAAATAATGCCTATTTTAAGCAGACCGATGGATTCTGGAGAATTTGGCCCTGCGGGTGTGAACGGCAGTGTTAGCTATAGTGTGAGCGGCGATTTATAAAGAATCGGTGAACGTAGTTCAGATTCTTATATAGCTAGTGATTTTTTTTGTTTTTTTTAGCAAGTCTTAAAATTTGTTCAAACTCTAATTTATTTTTTTTTCGCGTTTTGGCTGTTAATTTTTTTTTTAAGTTCAGTTCGTTTCATTTGTTAAAAGGAAGTCAAACTCCACTATTGAACTTCGAAAGCGTAAAGGTCACCAAAGTCGTGATTGACTTCTAATTGTAATTCGAAAGTTTCAAAATACAAATCAGTATTTTTTCTGTTTACTTGCATTAATTGGATCTTTTTTAACTGTCCGTTGGCTATGTTAGAATAAGTGGAGGCTCGGTTTGTAATCCCGGAATGGCAGCGGCCGAAGATGAAGATCGAAAAACTGACAAGTATAGAGATTTAATTAGTGATGGATATATTTTTCAACCAATAGCCTTCGATGTTCAGGGTACCGCCGGCCCTAACAGATTTATTTTAGTAAGCCTTGTAAGAACTTGAGCATATGTACTGAGGAACCAAGAAAAAGTAGTTTTCTTGCAGAGATTCTTCCTCGCTATACAGATTGAGAACGCTGTCTGCGTAATCGACCTTTTTAATGATAAAATTGCCTCCGAAGAAATTTTCATTAGTAGAGCCAAGGAAAAGTTAAGTGTAGTGTTTCGTAGTGCCAAGGAAAACTGAATTGTTGTATAAGTCTAGTATAATTATCTGATAGACCCCTAGCTTTATATTGGGTCATTTTTTAAAGTTTCTTTTTACTCAGTTTTTTATGGAGGTGTTAGATTTCTCAATTTGGTTGACTTGATACCCAACCATCTGACTCTTTTTTACTTTGCGTCACGTTATGTTTATTTTTCTCCAATCTATGAGATTCCTATGATTTTTTGACTTTTTAATGAGGGGACTTTTTTCTTAACTAAATTCGGTTACCATGGCGTCTTCTGACATTCTAATTTACCGAAACCAAAAAATTGAATTTAATCTTCACATTTCTCAGCGGAATCAAATTTTACCTAACTATCCGGTTTAGTAAAATTGGGTTGGCTTTATCAAAAATATTTCAAATAATTTTTCTTGAAATTCAAAGAGATGTAAAGCCATATAGTTTTTGCAATGTTTTCTTCTATTCATTGATTTTTTTCCAACTCTCTTTCTGTTATGTTTTTGGTGTATTTTGATGCTCAGCATTGTATCTTTCGTTGAACATTTTCAAAAACAATTGTTACTCTTACGAAAGCAAGTGTCTTAATTGGGAGCTAGACCTTTTTCCCGTAAACGTTTTTTCTTACATCGGAAATTGAAATTGAAGTTACTTTATTAGTGAACCTTGAAAGTTTTGTATCCTAACATCTGAAGTTCGAGTCCCGGATAGACCGTTTTTTTTCAGTATGTATGAAATTATAAACATTTCTCTGGGAAAAATTGAATGGTCGGAGTTTTTTTGTGTGCTTATATTTTGTCGGCTTTGTTGTCACATTGTAGAATTTTTTGTGCGATCAGCAATTCTTGTCGTAACTATTTTTGATGTATTCCTATAATTTATAAAAATAATAGCTCCTACTTTGTAAATTTTCTTTCTTGTTTTTAATTCGGTTTCCGCCTCAAAACTTCATTCGGCCTAAATGTTTTCAGCTGATGTTTTATTGGCTTAGTTACTTTGATGTGTCTCTTCAAGGGCAAAAAATGATTGATAAAAAGAATCAGATAAATGGTCTTGCAAAAGTTCAATGTATTAAAACTGAACTGCTCAAAAAAATTTTATATCAACAGTTTTTTTATGGCAGTTTTTTGTTTTCGGCTCAATGAGCGGCTTAGAGTGGCTGCTTTTGGCTCAATGCACGCATTTTTGGTTTTTTTCCCGTAAACAACTTGTCCACAGGATGACTGAAATTTGGTCATCTCCAAATGTATCTCTATTTCTACTCAAGATGCTCGTCTGAAAACTGTAATTCAAAAGTTGGCTTCAAAAATGATAATTGTTTTACAGCTGAAAAAGATTCTTAGATGTATGTTGATTTTTGTCGGCTTTTTTGATTTCGACCCAATTTTTTGTCGGCTTACGTGCCGGGTAATTAATTCTGTAATTTTTTGGTAGAATTTTTGATACTTTTTCTTTCATTTTCATGAGGTTGAATACAGTTCATGATTTTCTGGTTTTTATAGTCGTTTTAAAGTTTTTATATAGAATTTTTCTGCTAGAAATTTCTTTCGCAAATAAGTTCTCAGTTTTTTTTTCGGATGCATGCTCTCTGTTTTTTTTATTCTAAAAGTGCGTGAAACTAGTTTTGGTTTTAATTAGTTAGGTGTGTTTTAGGTTGAGACAATTTTATTTGAAATCTATTCAAGTTGATCGCTTAGCGTATTGTTTCAATTTTTCAAAAAAATTTGTAAAAATTGATAAATTTCGTTTTTTTTGCAAGTTTGTCTCGACTTTTTTTGTCGACAAAGGAATGTGGTGGCAAGTTCTACACGAGACTAAGGTGTGTGGTTCTGGCCGAAGTTTTCCTAAAAATTTTTCATGTTTTTTATTACCATTTTGCGTTTTTCAATGTTTTTTTTTGTTGTGATCTAGCTCTTTTACCGTTGCGTATAAATTTCATAACTGATGATTCTTGATATAATTGCGTTGTTTTCATAGGCTTTCAGAGTTTTTTCAGTTTTTCTGCAAGTTCTTTTTGGCAATTGTTTGTAATTTTTGCATCCATGTCCTAACACAAGCATAGCTTGTGCTTGTGTTATAGTCTGAACTTTCTTTTTTTCACACCTAAGTCGCAAATATTGTTGCGATGCAATTGTTGCGGCGAAATGTTTTCATTTTGAAAGTGTTCATTTTGATCCATCTATTAAGTACAGCCAGTGCTAAGGATACTAACACAGACTGGTATATTACAAATAGCACTTTAGCTTCAAGGTATCATGATTCTGTAGCGTAGAGGTAGGGAATGTGACCAGCAGCAAAATAGGAGAGTTCGAACCTGGGAAGGATCGGATGTTTTTAATGAATTTTTCGTATACTAGTTAAAATGCGTCCGCTCTATGATTTGAGGCATGTTAGTTGTTATTTTTTTTTCAAATTGACTGTTACTGATAATGCGTCATAATTGGCTTGCGTCACTTGGCAGTTATTCAGACTCATAATTGGCGTGCGTCACTAAAATTTTTTTGTAGATACAAAGTTTTACTCGTTCAGTTTTTCCCTGTAGCGTTATCGGTCATTTTTTTTTTACTTGTGTATGCGAAGTGTAACTTCGCCTCTGTGTTGAAATTTTGAAATTCATTTTTAATTTCTGATCTTATACTATAACGGATAGGGTCTTTATCTCCGATTGCTCTTATGGGATATGCAGATTCTTTGTTTATAAGGTTTAATGAACAGTTTTGGAGTGTATCCAGGAATAATCGTATCTCAATTTTTTGTCCGAAATGTTTTCTTATCGTTTTCATCTTGTTTATCAGAAAGAAATAGATTGAGTTAAACCCAAAGTTTTCTTTTGTTTAGAACGTAAATGACTAATATAACAATTGCAATACCTTTTTTTTGATTTTGAGCCTACCATTTCTTCAACAAAATTCATTCATGTTTTTCAATTTTCGTTTAAGACACATTATCTTTTGACTTTTGGAGCTTTATTGTGTATCGCAAGTGGCGCGAAGCTCAGCTTCGCCTCTTTGTTTTTTTATTTTTTTTCTGTCTCATTTTCTACACGTTAGCTTGCAATGATGTACTTGTGTGATTTTTTTCAGGAAAAAGTCTAAAAATTTTTCACGCTCAGTTTTGATTTTTCGCGATTTGAATTGTGATTTCTTTTTAAGTTCAGTGCATTTGCATTGTTAAAAGGAAGGGAAACTCCACTATCGAACAGCAAAAGTTTAAAGGTCCCGAAAAACGTGATCTACTTCTGATTTTGAAAATGGAAATTTATTATCCAGTTTTCTCAAATTGGGTTAATCTTAACAAAAAAAGTGTCCATCATAAATTGTTCTACAAATTCAAAGAGCTTTAAGGCCATCTATTTTTTTCTTCAAAATTCGAAAGTTGAAAGCTCTTGGAAAAACAAGTCAGTTTTTTTTCAGTTTCCTGGAGTTCATTACTCTTTTCCAACTGTTAGTTGGCTATGTTTGATGTAATTTCAGTTCTTTTGGACCTGGAAAACCACTGCTCCATTGTGCAGCAGATCAAAATAGCCCACTACCTGAGAGATGTGTTCAAAGAGGCCTTGTTCGTGAACAGACCGGGTGATGGGGAGGTGGCTCTGGACTTGGCAACAGTGCCTCTGATCAACCTGAGGGGCAAGATATTTGTCAAAAGCAAAAGGATACCCTCAATGGACAACCAATACGAGGTGTTTCATTAAGATTAGGCCAAATAAGTTTTATAATAATCTGAATCATGTCATTTTTTCTAGCGTATAGAGAGCCATGGATCAATTGTGTTCAAGCTTATTCTCGTTAAACCTTGCCCACTTTCTACAGACTTCGGGAAATTCGGTGAGGGAGGGCTTAACCAATTGTTTTTTTTTTTGAATTTCTCAAAAACGACTCGGCCAAATTTGATATAATAGTTCAATCGAAAGAACAGGTAGCGGGAATCTCCCTTGCAGAATCTGCTATGCCCTAGTTTTTAAAAGAAATATTTATGGCCTTAAAAAGGCCATATTTGACATTTTGGTTGCTTTTGGTTAAAAAAAGGCCATTTTTTGACATTTTGTCTGCTTCAGTTTTTTCAAAAACTACCCAATCAAAGCTAGGACTATAAATTCAACCGAAAGAACAGGTTGAGGGTAATCTGGCGTAAGCGGCTACATCCTAATTTTTGTAGAAAAAGGTTTTGGTCTTCAAAAATAGTCAACTTTAATAACTTGGACCGTTTTTCAGAATTTTTGGGCTTGTCCGCTGCCTTTTTTTGCTTAGCCCTAATATTTGTAGGAATAAAGTAACAGCCTTTGGAAAAGTCGAGTTAGTCTATTTTTGTGACCGTTTTTTGAAATTTAAACTTTCTCAAAAAGTACCAGGCCAAATCTGAGATTAAAGGTTTAATTAAATTCTCAGGTTGGGAGAATTTGTTTTGCAGAAATTGTGACCACTCAGTTTTTGCAGTAACTTTTCCAAGTTCTTAGAAAAAGTACAATTTCGGCCTTTTTACAGTTCTACGATTCAGAGTTCAATCTAAAATTAGGTTTTGGGAATCTTTCCTGCAGAAGCAGCTACGCCCTATTTTTTTGGAGAAAAAAGAAAAGTATAACTTTAAAAAAAATCGATTTGTTTATTTCAAAAGAGATTTCGATAGTTTTTTGGAAGCTTTTTTTCTCAAAAAGTGCCATGCCATTTCTGAGGTTAATAGTTCAATTGAAAGAACATGGTGCAAAGATCATACCTGCATAAAGGGTTAAATCCTATTTTCTGTAGAAAAGCTTGTGGTTTTTTGTTTGGACATTTTCTCGTGTGGAATCTCTCATTGATAAACAGCTAATTCCTGGTTTTAGTCGACAATACATGCGGTTTTGAGCAAAGACCATTTTTTGCAATTTTGAAAAGTTTCGCATTTCTTCTCGCATCAGTAAAGATTCTAAAAAGTGTGAAACAGATGCCTCCAGCTTTAGATTTCCACCCTAGTTTTTGCACATAAGAGCTAGCTAGCGAAGTGTATTAGTATGAATCCAATTTTTTTTCGAGCCGAACTCGAAATTAAAGTTGCTCATTTTGTGGTATTTTTGCTATTAATAATCAAGGTCTGTAGCATTAAAGTTTTATAGCATCCCTGTTTTTTTGGTGGCTAGTGTTTCACTAATATCAATCGATCGTGGCACAGATAGAAGGACGTGGGACTCCTAATCTAAAGGTCGGATGTTCAATGCCGCACTATTTTTATCTTAATTTGGTGGCATTTTTGTTGCATAGCCTTGGCACTTCATTAGCATCTGTAGCTGCTTTCTTGGTGGCTAGTTTAAGCAATCATTCAAGCGGCGGGGGCGCGAGATTCAAAATCTTGAGATTGGAATTTCGAATCCGACACATGGCAAAAGTTTTATTAACAAGGCTTATTTCGTACCTTTCATTATTTCACATTTTAGAGCTGCTTTTTACCGTTTTCTCGCTTGAGTTAGCGAAAGGCTGCTTCGCCTTCATGGGAAAGTTATGTTTACATCAAGCATTCTTTTTGTGCAAACATTTTAATTGGACTCAAATTGGGCGAATGCGATTGGTATAAATTTGAGGGAAAGGAGAGTGACAAGATACAGAGTTTGGTCCGTGTGTAGGTTCCGGCATCGCCCCCTGGCGCCAACTATGGAGAAGTTTCGGACGAGAATAGTGCGGACGAATTGCCCTCCCACTGCAAGACATTTGCCAACACTCCGTCGGGAAACCCAGACGTCGTAACCACCCATTCGGCTGCCGCATCTGATGGGGGAACCGGAACTGATAATTATGAGATGCTTCCTATGTACGAACAGAGAAGAAAGCAACACATCCTGCTGGGCAGAAAGCCTACTCTGGCACTCTCGAGGTAGCTTAACAAAGAAAATTAGCATGGTTTGGACCTCTTAGTTTTTTAGCTATTCCAGCAATTGAGTCCTATTATTTGAAAATCTATTAGGAAACCTTGCCCAGGGCAAAGAAACCATAAATATGGCTGTGTATGGCCAGAAAAAAACTGCCATTTTAAATGCAAAGAATAAAGCTATGGGAGTTTCATAATTGACTTCATAGTTGCTCAAAACAGTTTCAACATATATGCTTAATTTCTTCGAGCAATGAAATTATTTTGATTAAGCGTTTTCTTATCAGCAGTTATTGCTGCTTGTTGGCGCACTTTTTACACGTTAATTTTCCGCAGCTTTTTTAAGCGTGTTTTGGAATCAATTCGAAAGGCCGTTCTTTACAAAATTAACTTCGTTAATCAATTAAGCAAGTGTTTTGATTTGTTAAACTTACGATTTTGTGGGGAACATTTTAATTACGGGAAAAAGTTGAATACTTAGTCGAATAATTTCTCTGTTTGTTTCTTTTAGGTATCTCTCGGCTCTGGTAACAATCAAATCAAAGCTAATTGACATGGAGCAGCTGCAGCTAGATCCCTCTCAGAGGGAACCGAATGTACTTCACCAGATAAACGAGAGAGACGCGGTGCTGCAAGTACGTCAGAAGTTCCTCGACATCTCTCTCTTCTGTGAGTCGAATCTAGTTAAGCTGTCGCCGTCATCTTCAAGAGTAAACTCTTCAAATCCAGATCCCGTACAATTCTGGAATGCGGGAATTCAGATTGTGGCTCTGAATCAGCAGAAACAGCAGCAGAACGACAAAGCGATCCGGTTCAACAAGGTTATTTTCAAACGAGACATAAAAATGTCCGAAACATTTATCCTTTATTTGGCTTCCGATGATTACACTAGCAAGCGTTAGTGTATTAGTACGAATCTTTTTTTCCTAACCTAACTCGCAAATAAAGTGCATTAAAAGTGTTCACTTATTTGGTTGAACTTTTGCTATAATCACGATCTGTTGTAGCATTGGACTTTTCATAGCATCTGTTCTCTGCTTTATTGTTGGCTAGCGTTTGTGATCAATTAAGCGTCCTTGGATCAGTGGTTAGTGCGTGAGACTCATAATCTCTAGGTCGCGATCGGTCGGAGATCAAAATCAGAGACGTAGCCAATTTTTTAATACTAATTTGAGGCTAATATCTACTGTTTTTATTGCACTTTATAGAGCTGCTTTTTGTCGTGTTCTCGTTAGTGTTTGCGAAGCGCAGCTTTGCCTCTGAGTAAAATCTCAAATTTAAATACGTAGCATCTAGAGTTGAATTAATAGTTTAGAAATTTGAGGCAATTTTTTATTGAATCGTGTTCCGACGCGGAAAAATCTTGTCAATTATCTTTGTTCTTTTACCGCGGTTTGATTGTCCTTTCTGTGATTCTGTAGGCTTTGTTCAAGAGCAACGGGAACTGTGGCTACTTTCTGAAGCCGATCTACTCTGCGATGGGTAGTCAGGAGTGTCTGGAACTGGAGGTGATGTTCTTCTTTGTCAGTCGCATTCAGGCGTTCATCCAGTCTCAAGTTGCTGCCATGCCCAGCCACAGGTGGACTTTGCAGGTATTTAATAAATCGACCTTGTCTACATATTAGTGAACAGTTTCTTAAGAGTAATGAACGTAGTGAAGACTCTCATAGAGGTCTTGCTGATTTTTTTTCAGGAAAAAGTCTTAAAGTCTCTAATAAGTACATTGATGCGTATATGAATGCCTTTAGGTATATATGCGTTTTTTGAGTTCAATTCACTTTCATCTGCTGAAAGTGACGTAAATAGCACTTTCCAGATACAAACATGGAAATGGCGCAAAAAACGTGAACAATTTCTAGTTTCGAAAGTGGAATTTAATTTTTTAGATTTCCAGCGGAATAAAAACTTTACCCATTGATGCAGTTTTCTCTACTTGGGTTCATGTTATCAAAAAAGTGCCGCTCATAAATTGTTTTAGAAATTCAAAGAGCTTAAAGGGCATCAATTTTTTCTTAGATATTCGAAAGTTGAGATTTTTTCAAGAAAGTCAGTGTTTTTTTTTATTACTTGCGTTCTTTACTCTTTTCCAATCTTCGATTGGCTATGTATAGTACTGGGAGCAAGGTAATTTACCTTTCTTTATTATGTAATTTTGATTATAGTTATGAACGGTGACTTTACTTACTGGGGGCTGTTCTCATGATGAAGGGATTTAATTATCGGAAACTTGCAACAAATCAAAATCTTGTAAAATTGTAACAGTGTCCTATTCGCTGAACGGTTTATAGAGAAAACCAATAAAAAATTGTCAATAAGCATCAAAAACTGATTCCTAGTGGCCTCTTCATAACAGCTAAGCAGTTCGTGTCTCGGTGTTCTTAAGGCGTATCAGCTCGGTTGCTTGAGTTGCTGTTTTTTTATTGTGTCATTTTGATTTAACGCCCTAAATGTGCAGGCTTTCTTTGAAATATTCGCATTTTGATTAATCAGTTTTGATTGGCTGATGTTATTTTAACATCATGATGAACTACCCAATTCTTCCTTATTTTGATTAAGGGAAAATGTTCACTTGGTCAGAAAGGAATATTGCTGAAGATTTTTTTCGACACCAATTTTTTCGGTGCACAAGGGCTCTAGGAGTGAGTTCTTAACGCTTTTGTCAATATTTCTGTCGGTTTTTCTGTCAGAATGTTGTTGTCAATATTTCTGTCAGAATGTTGTTGTAGGTGGAGATCAAAGGGCACATGAATGATACCAGTACTCGATACATAGACTGCATGAACTTGCCGCCCACTCCCGAGAAATTCACCATCAACTACCCAAGCATGGCCTTCTTCTGCCTCACCCTCTACGAGGAGCTGTCCAAGTCGCGCAAGTTCTCCTCCGACTTCGTCATCCCGGTTGCATCCATTGCTGCCGGATTCAAGGTCAGTCAAATGTTTTTTAAAGGAGCTGAAATTAGATTCTGCTACAAACAGTACATATAACTGATCGGAATGTGTTTGACAGTTTACGTGAACACTATCCATCGATGATATTTTGTCTCACTTAGTTCTTATTCACAATGATATCGGTAATAGTAGAAAGAATAACACTTAATGTGGTTTTCATAGAGTAAATTTATTCTGGGGAAACAACCTGTAACTTAAGATTGTATATCGGATCATTATTATCCAGGTCGTACCGCTTCTCGGACCAAGTTCATGTGTCGTAATCGTGGATATCAACGCAAACACCAAGCCCCCAGGGAAAGAAAAACGTCGCAAGAGTTTTCTTAAAATTGGCAGAAAACCAAAGTTGAGCGAGCTAAAAGACCATCAGAATCGACAGTCGTTCGAAATCTACCAGTCCCAGAGTTTCAGATTTAGTCGAAGAAACAACGTTTCAACTCCAAACTTGGCGACTGCAGGTCCGGTTTCCCCGAGCGCCTACTCGCATCCGAATGGTTATATTGTGAGAAACGGACAGATTCCTCCGCGAGAAATTAGCCCCGATGAGTTCAGCTGTGGCTATGAGGCGCATTGTGCCACAGTTGGTGTGCCCAATTCGAGTGGTCAACAGGGTTTGAGTGAACTTCAGATGACGGCGGAGCAGAGGTGGAACCTGAACACTTCTAGTCTGAGAACCAGAAACCGGTGAGGTTTCGTTTTCAAACATTGATAGTGCTTAAAATATTCATATTTGTGTTGGAAGTTTAGTATGCAAGTATATTTTGGCAACGACTGTTTGTGGTTAGTTGATATAACATTTCTAAAAACTAATTAACTGAAAGAAACTTTTTCTGGTATTTCAGGTCTTCAATTCACGAGCTTGCCATGTCTTCAATTGCCAATCTTTTCAAAGAAAATACGAACCATACCTCCATTAGAAACCAAGTGCTGCTTGGAAAGTCCGCCCTTCTGTCATCCGAATATGCCTCCCACTATCAAACTCCCGTATTGAACCTAAGTACGAACAACCCCCCTCAAGATCCTCAGAATGTCGAGGAGCTGCAAGCGACCCGACTGTCTAGCGACGAACTCAGAGCTAATGTTTTTGACGAGAACACTGTGCCAATCTATGATTCGCCCCTGGAAGACCAAGTTTCTCAGTCCTGTCATAACTCGCCTTTGCACCAAGAGTCGAGCGAGGATTACCAAAGGTCCAGATCGGCCAAAGATAATAGCATGTTCGTGGCTCATACTGAAGCTTCTGCGTTTATTCCCTCTGAAAAAGCTGTTAATAGAAGCGAAGTTCAGGAAGTAGCACCCTTTGAAATTGCTCAACGTAAGCCTCAGCCTCTAGAAAGACAAGCATCACATGATCCAGGACCGAGTCAGGGTTTCAGACCAGTCAACCGTGTTGAAAGACCATCGCCAGCTCCGAGACTGCCAGGCAAAGGTTCCAAAATGCCTGCCAGGTCTGTTAGATACGGCAATAGAGCTACAGGAAGCGGCTATAAAGGTGCTCCTAAAAGTTTCATCAGAGGTCGAGCTAGTAGTCTTTCGGACAACGATCAGTTCTCAAGCGATGAAGAGTTAGATGACGGTCAGTTTATGAGTTCAGCTCAGAAATTTGACCAAAAGTTGCCAACTGAACGGAGCTCATTTTTGAGTGGAGAAGATAGTTTAGATTTAGAAGACAATTTAAATCTGTCAAATTTAGCTGCTGAAATTGAAGAAGAATTTGGAAATATGAATATTAACGCGTATGATTACTCGGATGATGATTATTTAAAACAGAACTTCCAAGAAAGTGAGCCAACTAGTGTAGATAACTTCCAAAATATTAAATCTCAGAGTAGTCTTGATTTTGATCATGGGCGGGCGAATACTGACAGTTACCTGGGCGCTGACGAGTCGGAAGGTTATGCGCCTGATTTGGAAGAGGGACCGAGGGGTGCTTCGGCAGTCGTTAAGCCGAGAGCTAGAGCATTCACTCGGCAAACGAGCGGTTATGAGTCAGGACTTGAATCTCCGACTGCTGAAGTGGCTAGTCGTGAAGAGAAAAATGAAGTTTCAGATGAAGATGAAACGAATGCAAGTCAAGGCAATCAATATTTCTACCAAACTACCATGGTTTAAACTTCAGCTTAAACTGCTAAAACAATGTTTTGCAATAAATTTGTACCTAATTGAGAGTGTAAATTTCATATAGCCAAATTTGTGAAATCAATAATTTGCTGTAAAATCTATCTAGAGTTTATGTTAGCCTGCATAAAATTAGTTAAAAACAAATTCTATTTGCAAATTCAAAATATTAGTTCCAGGTCTGCAACAGTTTCAAACTGTTTTTTGGATGCCAGGTGTTAATCTAGAAACTTAATTGTTACAGGATGGAATAGATAAAAAGCATGTTCCATGCAGCTCGAAGTCTTTTCTGAATAATTTCTTTTTTATCAGAAAAAATTCTGTGAGCTCAGAAAAAAGAAAAGCCGATGGTTGAGCGGGTAGCACAAAACGTTCGCAATTGGTCATCAACTAGCAAATATCCTTTAAAACGTAAATAAAATTCTCTAAACGCACTTGATTTAATTTTCCAATTGCATGTTTCTAGGAAATGGGTTCAAATTTTTCGCAAACTAAGCGATTATCTTTCAAACTAACTTTGTAGAACTTAAATTGTAGTTAGTGTTAGTTCGATTCATTCTTTTTTTGTGTGCGTCTTAGAGAATAGTCGAAAGAGATATAGAAGCTAACATCAAAATTAAGATGTGCCCAGCTTTCTCCGAAAAATCTGTACGCAAACATTTTTTTTTTCAATCGAAACAAAATTTCAGGTTTCTTTTTCAAGTTTGCCATGTTTTTCGCTCTCTTCGCTTGCTTATCGCACCGTAAATTCACTAAAGTTTCTGTAAAATGAATCAATATCAGATTGCATGGAACGCTTTAATATGATATATGACTCGGCACCATCTGTCACTCAATTGTGATACTGATTTTGCGTGAAGATAATTAAGAAAAAGCAAGCCACCTGATCACAGCTCTTTTCCACTTTCAACGGTCGAAAAAAAAGAACTAATCTCAGGTCATAGTTCCTTCCTACCCTTCTGTGAATAAGATTTTCTGGTCAGGGCAATTTAAAAAAAGCGTGAATTTCATTATTTTTATTATTTTGACTTTGATTTTTTTTGCTTTAAAGAAGCAATGCCTGATTGAGAACTACTGCCGCAATCTTTTTAAAAGTATTTGTCTTTGAGATGATAACAAAAAAAAGTTAAGAACAGTTGAGAAATTTTTTTTTTTGAAATTTCAATTGGAGGGAGTATTTTGAATAAATTTTGATACCATGATAGATCGGAGAGGAACATCCGGTCCTTACAAATGCACCCTTCATTTATCAAATGCCCTACAAGGCAAATTCTATCGGCCAAACAAAAGTCCTACAGCCAATAGTAGTACTAGCAAAGGGAAAAAATTATGTTTGTCACGGTAGTTTTCAAGAAAAGTCAAACTATTTCAAAACACTGTCAGAAGGCCATAAGTTTTTGGGTCAAAAAATCTGGGCGTAAGGTGCTTCCCACAATCCTTAAAAAACTGGGCATAGCCAATTATAAAGGTAAGCTATAAAGGTAGCTTTCTAAAGGTAAGCAAATTATAAATGGTTGCATTGAGAAATGTCCGAATAACGGTAAGCAATTCAGAAAGTGGACTTTTCCGAGCATCACAGTTTTTTGAATTGTTTAACGTTTTTCATACATTTCTCTCTGCTAATTATGATATCATAGATTTAATCGATACAGCAGGTTCTCGGAAGCTTAACTTTATAATTTGCTATGCCCAGTTTTTTAAGTAAAATGATATGGCTTTTAAACAAGTAAAAGAGTTGAAACTTTGAGCGTTTTTTGAAGTTTTTTTCTCTCTGCTCGAAAATTACCGTGTCAACTCTCGGGTTAATTGTTCAATAGAGAAAACAGATATGTGGAATTTTTTTACTTTATCGGCGACGTCCTGCTTTTAGCAGAAAAAAGTTATTGATTTTGGAAAGACAAGATTTTCAATTTTGAGATTTAGACTTCTCGAAATTTCTTAAAAATTACCCTGTCAAATTTGAGATGAAAACGTCAATCGAAAAAAAAACGGTTGTGCGGAGTTTTTCTGCAGAAATGGCTACTCCTCATTTTTTGTAAGAGAAAATTTATATTTTTTGGGGAAAAATGCAAATTCACAAAAATTTTCTTTCTTCTCAAATGTTTTAGTAGAGAAACAACAAAGGTTTGGCTAAAGTCCATTTTTTGAAATAACACATTTCGTCCCGCATCAGTGTAACAAATTTAAAAAAAAATCAAACGTACCTTCATCTTAACAAGAAATGACAAAACGATGGCTGTTAAATACTGAATTGACTGTATTCTAGTTCGCATAAATAAGAGAGTGAACTAGAGGTCAACGCATAACAGCTAGACAGTTCTAGGCTGATTGACAGGCAGGTACCAAACTCACACTTAATTATAGTGTGAGAACTCTCAGAGATAAGTAGATAAAGAAATAGCAACTAGGATGAATGACAACTGAACATTGTAGCCCCTGACATTTCCGTATGGATGTAAAATTTAATTACATAGTAATTTAAATTTAATATAATAATTAATAATATTCAACCTGCCGCCTCAACTAACACAATACAACAAACTTGAGTTTTAGGCTTATGGCCATCCCTCTCCCTAGCTAACGAGTTTTAAATGAGTTTTAAATAAGGTTCACTTTCCTTCTCCCCCTGGGTGTTTTCCTTTTTGTTCCGGCCCTTGGATATTATCGATCATGACTCCTCCCATTTTATCTACTGGCTTTCTTCTTCTGGTACTCCTTCTGGTCCCCGAGCTTTCACTTTGACTGCCAGATTCGACGTCTTCTTCTTGGCTACTATTCATAAGGCATTCTCTCGCCGCTAACGCCGGTCGGTCTTGGCTCCCCTTTCCTTGTTTCTGTCCCCCTTTTCCTCGCCTCACTTTCGTCCCTCTAGATTTTACTCTTGCTCCCGTTCCATGTTCTGCTACTGCTGTACTGCCGCTTGGGCCTTGTCCCGCCGCAACCGCTTCATGTCTCGCTAACACTTCTATTGGCAATCGTGCAGGGATAATATTTAGTGGCTGGTAATCTTCACTATCCGAACTGTCAGACTGGAAGGTTGCTACCGACACTTTTTTCATAGCCTTTGGCCTTTTTGATTTCGGGCTTTCGACTACCCCTTTCTTTCTCGATAACATCTCCTTGAGCGTAGCCGGCTTCCGTTTCTTGGGAAGTATGGGTTTTTGCTTTTCTGCCACTGCACTTTTCCTAAGAACAGATCCGTTTTTTAGCTTGATAGTATGTTTGGATTCAGAGATAACATTAGATTTTAAGAGTTTGTACAGATTTAGGGTCTTGCTGGTTGTACGCTGGTACAGGTCGCGTGCGCCTCCACTCCCTTGGACGTTAGGGCCAGTGTCTTTACTCCCTTGGATTTTCGGGGGCAACTCCCGATCCCTCCCCTGGACACGTGTCCATTTGCTGATCGCTATCAAGCATGATAGGGGCCCTTCTTAAAGCTGGAGCGTATGTCAGACCGGACCTTTCCTCCCAATTCGAGTGCTGAGGGAATGCAATTTTACTCAACTCAGGATCATTTTCGTCTAAACACAAACATTTTTGTTTTAAGACGTTCTTCCAATTCAAATTTTTCAAACTTGGTTTTTTCGTAAGATTGCGTAAAACGGTGTTAGCCTCCCGGCCGTGGTGGGCTTCAAAAGGTGTTAATTTAGTAGTTGCATTTTTGGAAAATCGTAGCGCGCCTAGCGTTTTATCGACCATCGATTCTAGAGACTTATGCGCTTTGTCAGTCGCATAGGTTAGGACAAAATTCTTCAAACTCCCTATTGTCCGTTCAACGGAGCCCGTGCCTCGATGATCGTTCACTGGTGAGTACATTGCTCGATGCCTTCGCTGTTACAGAAGCTTTTAAACGTATTAGATGTAAAACATGATACCTGATCAACGTGTATTTTCCGGGGTACTCCATGTTGAGTTATGTATTTATCGAGAAATTTTAAGACTTTATCTGACGTGTTACTGGTAGTAACCATTGCTGATGGCCACCTTGAGAACCGGTCCGTAGCAACCAAGACATATTTCTTACTCTCGTTCAAGTAGTTTATTGGCCCCCAGAAATCCAATTGTATACATTCATTGGGTTCCCTTGGTTCAGGGACCTTCCCCATGTCTCCCTTGGGTAATAACGATTTTAGATTCTTACCCGCTTCCGTGCATTGCTGACAGTACGTGGCCTTTGCTGCCAAACTGCGGTACATGTAGGGATACCAGACGTCACGTGCTGCTTCATACATGTTCCTTTTACCGTGATGGTAATAATGTATCCGCGACTCAATTGGGACTTGTAATGGCAAAGGAATGACCAGCCGTCCATCTAGCCACACACAATCGTCCCGCAATGACAAATCGTTTGCGTATTGGGCCCAGTACTTCCCAATCTTCAGGAGTTCTTCTTTCAAGTTAATCCTCTTCTCCAACGCTTCTTTTACTCGTACTAAGTTCACATCCGCCGGTATGTTTGAGGCAATAAATTCTAGATTAAATAATTCTAATAACGCTTGGGATTTCTTGATAACCTTGCAATCCCGGGGAATGATAGACATAACTTGTTGATTTGGGTTAACGGTCGGAAAAAGCTCGCCTGGGAATTTCGAAGGTATAGCAAGTACTGTATTAATTTTTGAATCCCGTGTATTTTTAGTAATGGCAACAATTTCAGGGTTAATGACAGTTATTTCATCGCTACTCAATAAGTTTTTATCTAGTCTAAGCGGAGAGTTGATTTTAGAGTGTAGTCTATTCGGAGGGTTAGTTTGGGAATCGATTTCAACATTTTCAATTTCAAATACTGGGAAAGAACAATTCGACTCACTATCCATTTTGTTTGAATTATTTGATATAGGCCAATTTAACCGTCTTCCAAGGGAACAATATATAGAGCACACTGAATGTCCCTTGGATTTCTTTGATTTACGCGTTATGCAAATTGATCGTTTCCTATTGGTCGGTGTCTTCACGCATGACTTTCCGCCCTCAACCGTCGCTGTTTGTAAGCATGTTTTCCGTTCTCGCTTCTGATTGGATGAAAACTGTCTAGACTGTTTAGAACCAGTTCCTTCAATGTCCTGATGATATCGTTCACCAAGGGATTTTAAATCATCTGTGAAACCAAGGGTTTTTCTAATTGAAGCGATTTTTGCCACAGCGAACAAATTATATATTGACTTATCGGTTTA